CTGAGAGCATTTTTTGCGATGGAAACGATTGGCACATATTCATTGATGGACAATTATCATAGAGCGTCCTCAGAACGCGGAAGTGAAAGTGATTTACGGCTGTTAGAATTGAAGTGTAAACAGCTACACTCATAATCAGTTCTAGATAGTCCTTGGATGGCCTTGCAGGGTATAATGATCACTTTGCCGCATTGTTTTGGGAATACGGATGGTTATACCCAAAATCAATCTGGAATGGGCACTAAATTATGGTCAGCGATGACTAGTTTTGGTAAGAAATTTCCGGCTTCTTCAGATGACATTGACTTTACTACCTTTGCAGCTACCACCAGTTTCATCAAGGACTTCCACTTGATAGTGAGTCCAATAAAATGGCACAGCGCTATTGAGTCACGCTTTCTAAATTGGAACAAAAACAAGGATATTGAATTATCCAAAGTTGCGCGATTTCTTGAGAACCTTAGGTTAAGACTAATGCGCGATATCAAGTATGTAACAGTTTTCTGAATAGGTATCGAACAGCTTTCCAAATTGTCACTCTGCCAGTTTTCTCATTCTGAATCCTTTGAGTCCCTTAGCTTCATTCTCTTTATCTCAAAGTGTTAGATAATGAACGTAAGAGGCATTCAACGTTTATATTACCAAAATAGATATATCGATCTGCGTACCAAACATGGTGACACATCAGTCTAAGAAGTTAATTTCGATAAGTCGTTAACGGTTTTAACTCCTCACGTACATTTGTTATACTAAAATGTTTTCAGAGAATGGCTCAGAATTTGAAAAATGCGCTAGCAAGATGGATCGCTTGATTCATTACGTTGTACAATTTGGTCAAATACAGTGTAGTCCGCAAACCACATATTATGCTAGTGAATGTTCAAACTCTTGTCCTGCATCCTTTCTATAAGTGCTGGAAGAAAAAGGAAGAATTTCGTGCAAAACAGATGACCAAATTTACTCCTAAAATCCCCTAGATCATACACAACATCTCTGTCGCACCTTACATCTTCAACTCGTGCAGAACAGTGAAGGTGTTAGTTTGCACTAAATCACGAAAACAAATATAAAAAGTAAGTTTAAGTTGCACTTTAGTCATTGACCCATCAGTCTTCAGTGCAAGTGCAAATTATTAGTCATTGAATTCCATAATTTGAGAGTGTGAATCACATTTGATGGTGCGACAGAGTAGATGAAAAAACCTTTTCTCACTTTGGTGAGAAAAACGCCATTCAAGTTGTAGTGAATAAGAATAATTTGTTAATCCCATCCTGTTCTAACATTCTGTTAGATGCATTGAGATATTCACTGTGACATGATATAAAAAGTAAAAACTTTGTAAAATCAATGCCCACAATTTATCTTCTTATTACTCAACCATCAAGCTCGACGTTCGCCAAAACAAGAGCTATGTTGTTCACTATTCATCTAACGGATCTTACTGTTCTAAACAACGTAGTTCTATCGATCCAAAGATTAGCTGCTTCATGTGCAATTTCTTCTTGGTGCGAACTGACTGCATTCAAACTATCAGTTAATCAAAGAAAAGTGACTTATTAAGTATTTGGCAACCAAGTTTTGCGGCTTTTTATTAACTTGTTTTTGAATGCTGCGCACTCGTCCAATATAGAATATGATGCGAGCTACGAATGTGGCTGTTGTTCTTCCAAATTCTGCCATCTCATGCATATACATTCTGAAACTTGGTCTCGGGTTTTTTAAGTTTGCTCATCATAAAAGCGCACCCCTAGTGGAGCCGTTGTTAAATTAGCACATTGACGACCACGCAATTCTGAGTTTCCACCTTTTGGGACCAAGGCATGTCACGGCTCGGTCATATTTTTTGAAAAATCACACATACTGCCACCTCAGTAGCCTACAGTAGCAGGGAGGCTGACAAAATAAATGGAAGTTACATCTATTAGGTTGTCCCATAAGTCTTTTCATACCTGAATTTTCAGCGGCATAAATCAGTTCTTCTTGAATTGCTGATAAAATGCAGGATACTGTTCGACAGATCAAAGTAAGCTCTACAAGATGGCGTTCAAAAGTTCGCACCAAGCTCAATCCGCAACAAGTTCCAAGCCAAAATAAAAAAATTTTCCGAATTTCCGAAAAAACGAAAACCATCATATCTCAGTTCAAAACAGCTCTGCAAATTTTCCACTTTTTCATGCATATACTCTCCTCATCGGATATCTATACATGCGCTTGCTGCATTTTTCTGATGGCTGAAAACCAATAAAAAAATAATGCGCTCAATTTTCAAACTTTGCCTGTATCACTTCTGTGTACCCCGCAAGTGATTGATTATATAGCTTATTCACTCAGAATTACTGTTAAAAATTTGCAGCCTATTAGGTGCTGTAGTTTTTGAGAAAAATCGAATTGAAGGTCCGAATATGAAAAGACTTATGGGACAACCTAATAGATCCTCCGCAAAAGTGAATTCCTCAAATGAGTTCCTTCTAGGATGGTCATCATTTTCCTAAATTCAAACCTTGACACACCGTGTATGTCAAGCTATCCACGTGGTAGTCATTGCTTGACACACCATGTGTGTTAAGCAGTCATCAATGTGTTAAACAGAATTACACTTTTTCAACTGTTCTGACTTTTTCAACCCAAACCGATCGCAGTCTTCACGTATTTTGGTCCAGTTGTGTAATAACGCATTCACCAAATCGCCATTATAAGCGTCATCCGTATTTCGGGTATCAGCCGAGCTATCAATAGATCTCCCCCTCCCCCTCTCGATCATTCGTAACGATCCGATCTAAACGAACAGACGCTCAGCGATCAGATCATCCCTGTTTTTCTTGATGGAGTAAGAAGCGTTGCATTCGAAAAATATTCGTTTGTCTATAAAATAAAAATAATCGCGGTAGTCAGTTAAGGAAACTAGAAATGAATGTTTACAACGCTTCAAGGCCTGGGAACTCGAAAGAGAAATGCTGCCAGCTCAAGAAATCCACGTAAGATGATTGTTGAATGTCATAATATGCGATGGTTTTGAAATGTGTTTCTTACATGCGTTGCTGTCAGCTAGCAAAACCAGAGTTATCACGAAAATCTGCCAAAAACACGTACTCGGTGCGCCGAAAATTTTTAGCAATGCAAAGCGTTTTCAACAAGCTTCCGACGAAGATAAGTAGATGCTAAGTAAGCTACATGCGTGTCCATCAGTTTATTCATTGACTTTAAACAAAGATATCTATGTGAACATGTAACAGGTGGAGATAGAGACTGTTGAAGGCTGGATTAGAAGACATTAGTGCCCCCGTACTATTCATCAACATATGTACAAGAATTATGAAAACGAATGAAGTCTACTTTCAGCATAAGTTTCTTGAAACATAGTCAGAAGTGACTATTATTAGCAAAGCAAAGAAGTAGAAATCAACAAAATAACAATAGTAAAGTATAAATAGGATAATGTATCAATTGCGAGAATAATGATGAAGAATATTTGGAATACATCGAGAAAGGGAGAAGTTCCGGGAGAAGTTGAAACTTACTATTAGGTGCAACCCAATGAGTCGGCTAGATTGTCCTGATCTTACAAGAAAAAAATGGAAGAATGAAAGTCCGAAATGAAAACATGTCCCTACAATAAGAGGGCGTACAGCGTAGCAAATGTATCCATAGGAGTTGCAGCCAACAAGACTGGACGTTGATAAAGCCTTTTAGTAGCAGATTTATGATGGATGTTACATTTGTACTTCTATGGATTACCTTTGCGTTGCAAAACTGGTGGCGTGTTGGAAAACTGTCGCGTCCCAATTAAGCAAATGTTTTCAGATGCTATAAAGTTACGCTTGATATAAACTCGCACATGATAGGCGAGCACCTACTACAATTAATTTGATAGCTTTTCTCTTCTTTGATGTGGCGCATTCATAATTTGATATGATGCAGATCAGGTGCTGAGCTACAAAAAATGTACGCAAACTTGGTGCCAAAGCATCAAAATTTTACGCATTCTCCGAAAGTTCAAGGTTTAAAAACAAAAGGAAGAATAAAACTGTACACAGATAGTTGCTAGATGAACTTCTATTAATACAGTCTTGGACTGATGTATTCGATAAATGCGAACGGTTGCATCTTTCTTTTTAGCCCAGCAAGATTTCGAATTTGACCAGCTTTCGGATAATGTGATTTTTCGCTCTGCTTCTCTACCAAAAAAAAAAACAAGCGGTTTGTGATTCTTAGTCCATTACTAATCTGCATTAGGTAGAGCAAGCGCGCCACAGTGAAGAAAAGCTATGAAGTTGCAAAACTTAGGTGCCAATCTAGTAATTATAGGTTCTGTATGCAACTATATCTTGCTTCGCTTAGCGGAGTCCAGCTAACACCTTTAACTGCAAAATTTCAACGGCGATGAAGAAGAATTCGGTTATGTACTTTCGTCGACCTTCATTGAATGCTCGCCAAATGACCAATGACCCAAAATTTGTCGAAATTGTTGATCATCACTTTTCGCGTAACGAATTCCCAAACAATAGTGCACTTAGTGCGGAATTCAAAACATTTACGCTACGTAGACAGGAATGTTAATACGAATTGGACGAGATACGCATCTTACAAGCCTGAAAGCCCATCAACAGTAAAAAGGCAGGTTTTTATCAGAGGCTGGATCGAAATAGGCAAGAAAAAACACCTAGCAAAGGCGGTAAGGCTGTTTGGGTTCCTCTGGAGCCTGCAAATAAATTTTTCCTTTAAAGACATTCTCAAAAAAATAGCAAGAACTCATTTCTTTTTCATCGACAAAGGATGTTTGCGCAGTGACATGCACTCAACTGAAAAATAGATTGTTTGTATGAGTAACGAAGATATTTAGCAAAAGTTCAGAGACGAAGACTGGATAAGAAAAACAACATCAAAGTGTCCACGCCCCGACGCCATCGTCCACCGAATTCTCACGCGCTCGGCCCCCGACAGCCCCGCCCTTGGCCGGTATAAAACAGAGCGAAGACGAAGGGAGATCTGACACTACACTGGTGTAAGACATGGTGCACGACATGCTAGTCACTTTATTTATCCTAATCACTCCTACCGTAGCCCTACCCCGGCTTAGGGACCCATTTGATGGTGAGTCGAACCCAAATAGCCCTCTTGTTTTGCAATTTTATAATTGTTTATTTTTGCAGTGCCGGAAGCGTCGCACTCAAAACCACTTCCAAATGATCATATCAACCCATTCTTCACTTTCAATGAAGATGAAATCCCAAGAATGGCGCCTGTAGATCTCGACGAGGAAGTCGAAATTGCCCCAAAGAAGAAGGTCGAGAAACTCCCGATGCAGAAAATCCTTAAGCACCATGTCTTTAATGAGGATCGACCTATTCCCGATGTAATGCCTGCACTACCAATTCCAAAAAGTGCAGAATTCCTCGAGCCTCAGCCTGGTGTTGCGCCGAAGTTCACGGGTTCGGTCGAGAAAGAGCCCTCTAGTACATCTGGAGATTTCGATTATTTCAACTTTGGCGAAGGTGAAGGTCCCGTAACCAACCCAGCAGCCACATATCTTGCCGGAGGAGATTTTGAAAAGGTACGGTAAATCTTCCCCAAATCAATTATTATCCGCTATATCTCACTCTTTCAGGTTTCTGCTCCTAAATGCACAATGCTCGGCTGCACTGGACCTTTGCCAAATGACGGCAGCTTCTCTATCGACCCCCCAAAATCTAAGGGGAAATCTTGTCATCAAACATTTGTTCCAATGAATGGATGCACGAATAACAAAGGCTACCCGATGGGTATGCTGTGTTCGATCTGCTGTGACTGTACTGCCAGTTTCATCAGAGAAATGAAGAAAACCCATGGCTACAAGATTAACTACCCTGCCTAATTTACTATTCTTCTCAATCTACCGCATTCTACCGTATTCCAAATTAGTGAACAAATCTCTCAACACTGCTTTGCAATCAATTTGTTTTCAATTCTATCTCATCTAGGCGGGTTTACTGTATATACACTGCTTGCTTTTCTTGATATCGCATCTCGCCCATCCATTCATGTATATAGGTGTTTATAACCTATTATTTGCATGTGTTCATGCTTTTTGCTTTGATCGCATTGCTGTACATATTGCACATTGTTCACTGTTTTATGTGCGTGAAAGATTTCAAACAGTTTTTCCAACACTCGTGTTATCACACAAAGCGATCTTGAGACCTTCACGGTCGAATCCCTGAAAATACACGTGTTTGAGAGAAAAATGTGACACTAACGGCAGATGTTTTCTCCCAAAGAAATTTCGAGGTCGAACATCAAAAAACTCGTTCGAATAGCACTATAATGTAAACCATTTGGTATATTTGACCCCACTCCATTGATTCATTTTCTTATGATCCAAACCTCAATATCATCCATTCATTTAACGTGAGAAACAAAAGGGATTCGACACACTTACCTGTATTAGACGGTGATCCAAGAAAACCTGCGTACATTTGATTGCTAGTAACTCACTTGTATAAAAAGCTTTCGCAAATCTTCAGGTACCATTTTGTACAAAAAGCTACATTTTGTATAAAAAGCTGTACATTTTGTATTAGAAGCTTTCGCAAATCTTTAGGCACCGTTTTGTAGCTGGTTCCTTTTACTTACAAAAAATCCCGTCTCTTCTGTCAATGTAGAATTACGATAAGAACACTAGAAATTGTGCGAAAGATTTGGAAACTTTTGAATTGACCGGTTGCTAATTTATATGCTTTCCACTTTTACACCCAAGAAGTCACGGCGGATACTGTGAGAAGGGTTTCCCAATAGCTATCGAAAATCTGATTATGCCAACTAAACTGCTCTACGAACATTCAAGAAGTTTTACTACAGTCAGCAGATAAACCTCACTTCGAACTCACTTTCAAATGTTCAGAAATTTTGGATTTTTTCTCCATTGGCAGCGTTTGCAGTGGTGACACCGTGATAGAAGTTATTATTGTAACTCCACAGTAATGAAAAACGATGGATGATCTGTTTTGTTCTGTATATATGAGTTGATCCTAAGCCTAAATTATATTTCCTAAAGATCCGCATTGACACGTAACATCAGAGATCGAACGTTTGGTAGATTTTTTGACATCCTGTATCCAAAAACTGTACATTTGCGAAGCACTGAATGAAAAAACGCGTGCCTATTCTATGCATAATTTTGATATCAGCTTGAATATACAAAATTCGGATAAGGTTGCTCAAAATCATGCAAACGAAATATTCTAACCTTTTCTTGAGAATACTTTTTGAGAGATATTACAATTAATATACAGTTTCCTTCCTGATCTTGAAGGCCAAACAGTTAGTTCTGTTCCTGGGTGATAATTTGTCTTCGAAAACTTTTTTCCTCTTGCGGTGTCGTCAACTGCAGCAATCCAAAATTTTTTGTCACATTGCTTTTCCATTTCTAAACGTCACACATTCCGAAAGTTCTTCGAGTGCAGGTCATGTCACTATACAGGTCTCCTGTTGGCTGAACAGGTGATTCATCTTCCCATTTCGTCCACGAAGAAAATGTGTTGCACTAATCTAGAACAGTTTCAAGACTGCACTTCAAAATTCTGAACTTAATAAATTTGCCTTGAGTATTGGCGAACAAAATTTTGAACTCAGTAAAATTGCTTTGGGTAAAGAGAATTTTGCTGGACTTTTATTGTGGGAATGGCAATATGTAGGATTTGAACATAAAATATTTTCCACTTTTCCAAAGGAGAATTTGGTGCTAGAACCACATCATTCTTGATTTTTCATGTGTTGCTTCGAACAACAATTATTGAGTGTGCAGAGTTCTGCACCACATAGCCTATTTCACTGTTTTATGACTATCTTCAGAAGTCTCATCATTGTTCAAACGCATAAAGTCAGTCTTTCTGTTTGAGATCGGAATGTTCGGAATGATGCTGTCAAGGTTACGGTGCCAAAAAGTCAAACAGAACAGGAAATTGTCAATTTGTTTTAGCAAGTTACAATTTGTTGCACATCAGCCAATTGTCTGTGATCATCCTGGTCGTCTGGACGATCTTTACAAAATACATTGAAAAATATTGAATAATGAGTAGATTTGTCAATTCGTGTCAATCTGTGCTTTTTGTTCATAAAAAACTGTTTAAATTGCTAATAAACTTTTTTTTGGTTAAAACCTGAGAACAGAGATATCTTTGATCGTCGATGAGGTTTTCTGACGTGAGCGGATAATGACGGAGAAGAGACTTTTTCAGTTCAGCTCACCCAGTCTGCCCATCCTTAATATGCACAAAAATCTCTTAGCCATATCACCCAAACTTTAATCCATTTCATTCTTTGTCGAGAGGGAAAGCAACCCTACAATTTAACCTTTATGGAGGTTGTTCAAGAATTTCTGACCCACGAGTAATGCACTGGAAACGTCGATTTGTTTCGTACAGATGCATTCCAACTACTAACACAAAAGTCTTGTGTAAATCATCTCTAGCACTCAGCTACCGGAAAAGCGACGTGGGTTAAGCCATCCGCCGACATTTGGACAACCAGACAGCTGCTCGATTTCACATGGAACTATAATTTCGTACGAAAAGATGCGACTATGAAAGATCGAGCGAATTGAGACAGTACTAAAAATATCCTACTTCGCTGTGCTTTTAATGCGATTGTCGATTTTTCATGGCCATATGTCGATTTGCAACTGGTCTCCAAATGCAGTAGATTAAAGGATTTGGAGCCTCAATCCCATTGCAAGATTGTTTTCAGACTGCTTGCATAAATCGAATCTTTTTCTGCCGTTGCACTTGCCTAGAGTGCAAAAAGATCTGGTCAACCTTTGACATTTCCAGTGAAATGGTGGAACCAGTCTAAACCTTAATGACGTTGAATGAGGTCGAGTGCACGACCACATTCCGCGCCGCTGTCTAATAAATGGTGAAAGTAAGCCTTCATAATGTATATGGATTTTCTGGTACTGGTATTTCACCTCTAAAAGATTCCGATGCGCTCGATTGCGCCTCACCATTGAGAATATGAGTAATCAATGACGGCGATGAGAAGATTCAAGCGTAAAAGAACACCAAAATTTTGTTCCACAAAGTTTTTCAGTAACACGATTTTTCGTTTGCATAACTGCTGCATTCAACTGCACACAACAAGGATCAAAATCTGAGATCTTCGCAAATGTGGCCAAAAATGTGTAATAGTCGGATAAAACGATCAAATACCAGCCAGATGTGAACTACTTTGTCAAGTGACTGGTCACTGATTAATTGTCCAAAGAGCATCAGACGATTTTTCAGCAGTTGGTCGAATTCTTTTGCACGGCAAGTGGCATTCATTGAAGCCGAAACTTCCAGCAAATTTTTGCAGAAACATCGAGGCGACAAGTGTGTGAAGGATACGGAATATAATTCAACTCCCTTATTCCCCCCCCCCCCCCCTCCCCACACACCGCACACAACGTATTTCTTAAACCGTGACTCGTCAAAATGTTATGGTACAATGATGTGAACCTTACTGATGCTTACAACCATATCAAACCGCAGCTTGACTGTTCCTATCTCTGACAGTTCTTGACGCAATTTAATTTTTATTTTTTTTTCGCAGATCAACCACACTTCAGCCTTTCCGATGGAGTCTCATGTGTCCAACGAATTCAATGCATGAAAAGTACTTGCAATTTTTTGAGAATTTCTTCAGTTCTCAGAGTAAATTTGTAATAAGTCAAATTGACGACGAAAACTTCATTCTGTTGAATGCTTCAAAGATTCGAGAGCATAGACCTCAACCTAATCATGACTAAAGCAGGATTCGATCAATTGCGACGATGGCTAGGCAGTTGGAATTGTATAGCTGCAGTCTTGAATTTTAAACACTTCATTCTTCGTATACCTGCATGGCAATAAATATTTTCTCTATCACTAATTCGATCTTGCTAATACCCGCTCCTGTTTGTCTGTTGCTAGGGAAGAAGAATAACACTGTAGATATGCACTAACAACAAACACGAAAGTACAAAATACATTTGATTGTTTATGTGGGGAGTTCTCAAACTCTCAAGGTCTCAAACATAGTTCACTTTGATAAAAAAAACCATTTTGCTGCAGACATTTTCTTTTAACTTCCGCATTACGTCCTTTGTGTACTTTTCGGTCTGGTCCGAAGTAGCCCACTTATGAGCAAGAACAGAAAAAAATTGGGGTAAAACCATTTAGGCCTACAAGTGCCCTTTTACGTAGAGTATTTACGCAAGCCAAGGGAACTATGAATTTTGCTTTGATATAGATTCAGGAGATAGCGTTCCTTGTACGTATAATCCAAGGCTCTTTGATAGGCTTTGAATCCGTGGAGCCAGTTTGGAAAAAACCAGATCTGCGTTAATGATGGGTAAAGAAATGAGTTTTCGCAATGATAAACTAGTGCGATTCTATTAAACACAAAAAAGCCATCTTTTCCTATTTCATCAGATTGCTCTCCGCACAATTTCCTAGGTATAGGTTGTCCGGTTATTAATGCAGGATCATTATGCGATCTGGCAGTGTGCATAAGAAAATATGGAAAACATATCACTGGATAGAGCAAAGCAACCTCTACGAAACTGCATTAGAACGATCACAAAAGTTTAGATCCAGATGAAGCCTGAAAGGAAAATTCAAAAAAAGTTTAATTAACCGGAAATCGGATTTCCTTCTAAGAAGATCGTGTGGATTTCTAACTGGTTAGGCATATACTATACGAATCAAAGATTCATAGTTACAGTTGCCCTAGTTTTTCCAAGGTCAGGAGATGAGAAAAACAAAGTTAACATGCCATTAAAAATGCAATGCTGAGATGTGATATAAGGTAACAACCTTTAGAAGTGCAACCGTAGATTGTTAGTTTCCTGCAAAGCTAGTTTGCAAAAAATACTGAATTTAGCATAAAGAACCCGAAAAAGGCGATATTTTCTCATCTTGGCCTAATTTGAATTTCCAATTTCCAGATGTTGTAAAGATCTGGGAGGTGTGCATGAATGTACGATTCAGGAAGCATG